TAAAAAGTAAAAAGAACTTCCAAAATTCCACAAAATCTCTAAAAAAGGTACTCACTATTTCTTAAAGTTGGAAAAAGACCACAAAAGCCCATAAATATTGAACCTTACTGTATCTATAATCACATGAGCCGCAAAAGGGCTCTTGTAAGTCTAATAGATCTCAACTGTATGTCGAGGGTTTGTCAAATACTCCTAGTCTTTACCATACTCTAAAGTTAAAAAGAGTTGTTTTCAAGTTTAGTAAGTGGTGGCTCTAACTGGTTCAAGTTTACTTCGCCAGTATCTACTTTGTCCGCAAAAAATAAAAATAAAAATTGTTAGCAGATATGATAACCATGATTTACGGAATGACTTACCGTATTAGCATATAGATTTGATTATGCTATATAATGTCATAGAATATGCCATAGAATATGCTGTGATTTGATTTAGATTTGATTTAATTTCCTCTCTTGTAATATGAGCATGTGCTCTTTTTATCTATAAATACTCGAGTTGTGAATGAGTAATTTATCTCATTTAAGCCTTTACACATATCTCTCATTTTCTTCTTTTCATATTTCTTCTTGATATCAGAGCCAACACCTTTCCACACCTTTCAGCAGCCTTGCTACTTACTTGTGCGACAGCAACCTTAGGCTGATTGCGACATCGTGTGACGTTGCCTACACATGATTTTTTATGTTGCTGTTTTGTGATCGAAAACAGGTATTTTTAAGTTTTACAATTTGTTTTTTACTCTTCTAGGGTTGGGTAATTTGGGATAGTTGGTCTCCAATAGCTAGAAAGGTTTGGGTAAAAATTTTTGAGTATACAGAGAGATTCTGGATATTGAGAAGGAGGTTGTACGGCTATATGTAAGCAGGAAACACTCCTTGAAAAAGTCTGTATTTGGACTTTTCGGGAATGGTCCGAGGAGACATTGTTATTGTTTATGGTCTGAGAAGACTATTTAGTTATTAACAAAATTTGTAGTGTTTTTGGAGTTGTTTATTGTCGTGTGACAGATTATGGTAGATTTAGGGCCCTCGACTGTTAATTCTCTTGGTTCAGGTTCTGTGAGTGGTGGTGCCATTTTTCCCACCAACTCATCAGAAAATCCAGGACTTCAAATCACCACAGTGAAGTTGGATGGCTCCAACTATTTGATTTGGGCACATTCTGCCAAGATGTTCATTGGAGGCAAAGGCAAGATTGGTTATATTATTGGTTTTGAGAAAGAACCAACCGAGTCAGAGAAGGCATATCCACAGTGGTTTGCAGATAACGTTATGGTTATGTCTTGGCTAGTCAATTCGATGCAGCCAAACATAGATGTTGTCTATAAGTTTATTAAGACTGCTAAACAGATTTGGGATTCAGTTCAACGCACTTATTCTCAGAGGCAGAATAATGCACGAATTTTCCAGTTAAGGCAAGATATCACCAGAATTTCTCAGGGTGACTTGACAATTTCAGGTTACATCGCCAAGCTTCGTGCTATTTGGGAGATGTCATATTATGATTCCTTCCACTCTTGAAAGGATCCAGATGATGCAATTTTATATGCAAGGATTGTGGAGAAGAATCGAGTGTTTCAATTTCTTACCAGTTTAACGATGAGTTTGAGTATGCTCTTTGTACATTTATTGGGCTTATCTTCATTCCCTACTCTTGAGGATGCCTACTCCTATGTGTTGTCAGATGAGAGCCGTTGGACTCATCCATTAGGTGCTACTTCTATTGATCATTCTGTTATTGCAGTTCGTGTTCCCAACCTTTCAGGAATTACATTATCCTAGTCAGTTCAGATTTCTACCACCAGTCCTCCTTTGGGACGACAACGTGGGCGGTGTGACCATTGCGGGAAAATTAGTCACATCAATCTCGTTGTTATGCACTACATGGACGCCCACCGCAACAGAAACAACAACCTCGATCCTCTGCACATTCTGTTACACAACCAGGCTCGTTGTCAGCTCCTGACAACTCTGCCTCTTCATCTTCTACCACAGTTACCTTGACTCAAGCTGATTTGGACAAGTTCAAACAATTCTTCAATCAAATGGAGGCATCATCTCAGCTAACCTCCACTTTTGCCCGCTCAGGTACTATTGTGTCTGCATATAGTGTATCTACATCTTCGACACCATGAATCATTGATTCTAATGCTTCGGACAATATGACTGGTATGTCCTCATTCTTCCAATCTTATAGTATCTTCTCTGGCATCGCAAGGTACACCTTGCGGACGGCTCTCTATCTTCCATTGGGAAGGGTCACGTATCAGTTACTTCTTCATTAACTTTATCAGATACACTTCATGTTCCACAGTTGATTACAAATCTTATTTCTGTTAGTAACGTTACTAAACAATTAAATTATAGTGTAACATTCTTTCCCTCTCACAAGATTGTGTTTGAGAAGGCATTGTCCAAGTTGGGCGTTTCAAATATCCACGCACCAACTTGAGGGGGAGTGTTAGTAGATACGATAGCCACGATTTATGGAATGACTTACCGTATTAGTACAGATTTGATTATGCTATAGAATATGCCATAGAATATGTTGTGGTTTGATTTAATTTCTTTTCTTGTAATATGAGCATGTGCTCTTTTTATCTATAAATACTCGAGCTGTGAATGAGTGATTTATCTCATTTAAGCATTTACACAATTCTCTCCTTTTTCTTCTTTTTATATTTCTTCTATAATAAAAATAAATAAATAATAACTTGAATGTTAGAAATATAATTGTGTGCTGGCAAATTTCGTACTCAAAACCATTTTATCAAGTTATAATTTTATTCAAGTCTTGAGTTGGAAGTGTTGGAAGAAAAATTAGGATTGATCTTCAAGATGTCCTGCCTGAAGAACTTGAATTGAGCCCACATTAGATTAGATAAGTGAGTACAGTCCGTGAGAAAAATAGTGAAGTGGTTTCTGAGTAAAAATGGCCAAGTGTTTTATCAAATTAAGGTTTCACCGGTAGAAGTTTTTCTTGCACCGGTTGAATAGGCTACTAGACTAGCACAACAATATAGTCCAGAGAACTATTCTACGAGTAGTCTAATAATTCCTTGTACCGGCAGAACTTGCTTTTGGTGGAATTGTGCCTTACTCCAGAAAGAAGAGGTACCGGTTGAAACTGTGCTTGTACAGGGAGAACATAATTCTGGAATGAAGTAATTCAAGTCCAGAACGCTAATGCACCAGTTGAACGATTTATTCTACCAGTGGAACCTTACCTATTTCAACTAGGATTTTGAGTTTTGAACAATTTTTACTTCTAATTCAAATCCAAACTCTTAGAGATGTCTTCAACATATTTCGATGACTTTTTCAATTTTGAAGAGGACTCTCTGTATATATATATACTCAGCTAAGACTTGTTCCAAGACAATGAGATAAATTACTAAAAATCAGACAGCTTTTTGAGTGAAAATTAGCTGACATTTTCTGAGTTTATTTCTTTCAATAGAATCAATTTTTTCATTAGTGTTGGTACTGTCTTTCATCCCCTAATTGTGTGAAACCGAGCTATACTATTGTGTATATCTAAAGCAATCAGCAACTTCCTTACACAATTTGTGCAAGAAGAGGCAATTGATCACTATGATAAGCGGCAGGGGGGGAGATAGAGGGGGCTAGTAAAATAACAAAACAAACAAGCACCACAATGAAACTAAATACTTTTTTTTTGGGGGGGTGGTGGTGGGGGTGGACGCCATGAAGTTGACATCGTTTATGAAGAAAGAAAGAGCAAGACATCGTTCATGAAGAAGAGAGAGAGAAGATAAACAGGAGACTGTTCATGAAGACAAACCTAAATTGAAAGCAGAGAGAGAAAATGACAATGCTCATGGAGGCAAACTGTAAATAGTTTGGGAAGAAGAGATAGAAGAGAAACAGGGCATTGTTCACAAAAAGAATAAGAACAGAAACGGGACACTGTTTGTGAAGAAAGAAAAACTGAGAAGAACAAAGAAGCTCAAAGTAAACAAAAAAAATCATGAATTCATCATCAGAAATCATGTAGTAATAGGAAATAAAAAAATCAATTGAAGCCATACCTCATGAAATTATAGTGCCTAATCTTTTGAATCACCTGAGAGTTAATCGTCTAAAGTAAATAAAAACTGCTTTTCCATCGCTTGACAATCATCACATGCTGTCGTTGCTTTCGCTTTATATCTGAATGACCTTACGTTTACCAGATTTAGCAGTTATATGCTAGGTCAGGGGCTTTGGGCTTTACAAGATTTTTGTAACAGTGTTATAAGCTAGGGCATGGACTTTATTTTCTTTAAAATTTCAGACTGAAAGGTCATGAACTTTAGGTTCTTTAAACAGAACAATAGACCCACTGAAAAAACCCGAAAAGACTCGAAAGTATGTTTTTCAACACACATGTCACATGTCCTCATGTTTTAGATGCATGTCTGCATTATGCTCATTTATCTTTTCTAGAAAATATAAAGACACATCTTTTGATGTGTGGCATGTGCAGAACATTTTTTACTCATGTCCACGTCTATCGCGTGTCGGACACATGATTGTATGGTTATATGCATTAGACAAATTCCTTAGGGGCTATTATCCGGAATTCCAACAACCCTGCAAGTGAAAAGAACTAGGTCCCAACTCCAAAAGAGAAAAAATTCAGCAAAACCCACCATATACACTTCCCTTTGTAGAACCAGCACTCACCCATATTTAAAATTTTCATTTCTCCCAGCACCAAAATGATTTAAGATTACGAAGATAAAAGCAGGTTCAAATGCCAAATCAAATTCTTTTTCTTAACCTCCAATTATTTGCTTCTCAAACATTATTAGTGCAATAGCCACTGATGTTATTTTCTAGAAAGAGGGGTCATCAAAAAAGTATTACAGAAGTTGAATGGTGTATGACAAGCTATAGACAGTATCAAATTGATCAAAGGCAATATTATGTACTAGTGGCCACATACAAGCCTATTTACTATGAACCAAAAGCAAGGCATATGTTACTAATACTCACCGATTTACTTGGATCCATGTAAACACTTAAAAGAGATTTCATTGTTGGGTACTTCTTCCATATAGCAAAAGCGAATCGCGGTTGTACCTTTGGTATAGCTACCAATGCTTTTAACCTGAAGTTAAAAAGAAAAGTCAGGAGGAACATGAAGGCATGCCTAGAGATATCAAATTAAGGCATCAAAATCGTATACAAATCAAACTTCTGGTTGAAAGAGGAAAACTTTTACTCTGCAATACTGTTATAATTATTTTCTAGAGCATTTATGCACAATAACCGGATTTGACATCCTTGAGTGACTGCACAGGTAGGGGAAAGGCCATTATACAAAGCGAGTCAACACAAAAAATTCAATATCGCTCTAATAAAGATAAAGTATTACATACCAAATGGCAAAAAAGGTGATAGTCTTGCAGATATATAATTTGTTAGCAGGTTATAGACAAACAAGACTTATACATCTCCAAGGGGAAAAAGACACGGCTTAGAGAACACCAGCTCTTTGTCAAGAGAGAGAAGTGCGAATTCTGCCGTAGTAAGATTATGTTTTTGGGACACTGGGTTAGTGTGACGGGTGGGCGCTTGCCCATTTACCCAAACACTCAAGTTGTTGGATAATGTTGCATACCCACCCATTTATACCCAATCACTTTCACATCTGGATCCGATGTGGGACAAATGACCATTGTTACATTCTCTCCTACCCAAACTCACAACGCCCTCATTGCGGCTCGGGCCACCCTGCCTACCATGGCTGGCTCACCCGGACGCCTTCCGGGCTGGGCACTTGGCGAGACATCGGATTAAAGACTGAGTCTGGCTCACCCGGACGCCTTCCGGGCTGGGCACTTGGCGAGACATCGGATTAAAGACTGAGTCTGGCTCTGATACCAACTATAACGGGTGGGTATTTGCCCATTTACCAAAAAGCTCAAGCTGTTGGGTAGTTCTGCATACCCACCCATTTATACCCAATCACTTTCCCATCCAGATCCGATGTTGGACAAATGACCCTTGTTACAGTTAGCAAGGACACAACTAGAATGGATGAGTGGAAGGTAAAGGTTGTTGCAAGTTTTCCAGCTCCCACCAAGGTAACAGAATTTCGTTCTTTCCTTGGCCTTGCTAACTATTATTGCAGGTTCATCAATGGTTACTCTAAGAAGGTGAATCCCTTGACTGACCTAGTGAAGGACCAGAAGTGGTGTTGGTCTGAAGCATGTGAGACAGCCATTAAAAAGGTCAAGCAGAGTATTGCGTCTGAGCCGGTGTTGCGGCTACCAGACTTTAACTGGCATTTTGAAGTTTAAACATACGCATCCGATTGGGCTATTGGCAGGGTGTTGGTCCAGCACACCCCTCTGCATTCAAGAGTCGCAAACTTAAAGATGCTAAGCAAAGATACTCAGACCATGAGAAGGAAATGACGACAGTTGCACTACCTAGATGCTTGGAAACATTACTTGCTGGGCACTCGAATTGCTGTGGTAACAGACAATGTTGCCAACACTTAGTTCAACATGCAGAAGAGGCTGTCCCAAACCAAGCCCAGAGGCAAGAGTTACTAAAGGAGTTTGATTTTCTGTGCGTGCGAGGGCTTAGGAGGCAGAACCAGGTGGTTGACCCGTTGAGCAGTAAGGAAGTGCGGGTCTATGCGGTTGCACTGTCCACTATGCACACGAACTTCCTGGAGTGTATTAAGCAAGAAGCTACAGATGATGTTGCCAACATCAAGCTCCAACAGCTAGTGAAGGAGGGCTTGGTGTGGAGATATTGGATAGAGGAGTAGCTACTCTATGCTAGAGGCGGCAAGCTAAACGTCCCTAGTGGAGGGGGACTTCGGAAAGAGCTCATGAGGGAGATGCAGAACATGTAGTGGGCTGGCCATCCAAGTGTGGAATGGATGCTGGCTCTTATCTCACACAAGTGTTATTGGCCCAAGATGGAGAACAATATTGATGCCTATGTCAAGACTTGTCTGGTATGCTAAAGATGCAAGAAATTTTCTCTCTAAATTGACAGAGTTTCATTATACTTCAAGAATTTCAATCCCCTCTTTTCTTCATTTTTTCCCTATTTATAGATTGTTTACAATGTTCAAGAAGATCCCTTACTAACTTCCTCCATCAGGCCCATCATTGAGGCTTTTGCATCCATCGACCCATTCGTCATCTAGGCCCTTATCCTTACTCTTCGGCATTGGGCTTGCCTCATGACGACTTGGTTTGGGCCTATGTCATTTGCCTGGCCCACTCTTCATCATATGGGTTAGATTCGGCCCACGCCGTCTTTGGGATCCTCATCTGCCCCCATAATCACTCCCTTATTAATTAGGGTGTGATTATCAATAGATCTAATGATGATTCGACAGCTCGAGACGATCACGTGGGGCATCGAGCGGTCGGCCTTGGAATTAATGTCTTTAATATTTGAATCTTCTTAACTCCCTGACGTCTCGGTTAATGGGACCACTTCCCCTTTATAAACCACTCTCCATATCCACATCTTCCATTGTCGTACCCCCCACAAATCACTGTCAATCGATTTCAGTTCATCCTCTCAAGGCAACTCGGATTTTTCTAATCAATCCAAATATTCTCTGGCGAATCCAGTGAAAGCTTCTTCTCTCTCAATCCTTTTGCAACATCCCTCGCTGATCTTCATCTTTTCAAGGTTAGTTTTGTTTATTCTTCTTAAAGTATTTGCACATTTTCCCAAAGATCATAACGGTCAGCGTCATGCCTATAGATTTTGATATTCTGTGTATGAAGCTCCATCTCCCTTCCAACATTCACCTTAGAGAATGTCCCAAAGATGTTAATGTCAGAACCGGTGCCTGTCTTCTCATAGTTGTTAAAGGCTCAAGGCGCACAAAAGCGCAAATGCCTCCTAGAGCCTAAGGCGCAAGGCGAGGCGCGCGCCTGACTGAAGTAAGGCGCACATTGAAAAAAAAAAAAAACAAAACCCACCCAATAAAATATTAAAGATGCAATAGTATATATACAGATGTAAAAGTCAACTAAATGAATTACTTAAGTTAAATATTCAACATAAAGATTGCAAAACCAAGTAAATCAAGTACTTAAGTTCAACAGTGAATAATCAAACATATTAAAACTAAAACAAACAAACATAAACATCATATATGGACTGCATAACATGTTCATACATTTATATACATTCACTTATTACTTGCATATACTATATGAGATTTATCTACTATATGAGATGTAATATATATGCATATATGGACTACATGATACCATATACCAACTTATATGTATACTGTAATTTATTCCAGCAGCACAGAATTGTATACTACAATTTATTCCAGCAGCACAGATTATAAAAAAATAAATAAAATAAATAAGAGAAGAGGCTGAACTCTGAAGAGCAAAAGCACAGAGAGCCGAGAAGTAGAATAGAAAAAAAAAAAAAATACCATTGAAAGACACCATTACGTTGGACAAAGATGTTAGGACTGACACTAAGGGGATCCATTACGTTGGACTAACCCAATGATCCATTACTGATTTTTAATCAATTGTGTCCCAGAATCAAATTTTAATATAAGAAAATATTGTTGAAATTTGCGCGAGCCTTTGAGATTTTATAGAGAAGAAGAATAAAAGAAGAAGAAGAAAAGAAGAAAAAAAAAAGAAAAAGAAAAAGACCGAAAAAAACTGGAGAAAGAAAAAATAAATAAAAAAAATAAAAAGAAGAAGACAAAAAAAAAAAATACCATTGAAAGACACCATTACGTTGGACAAAGATGTTTGGACTGACACTAAGGGGATCCATTACGTTGGACTAACCCAAGGATCCATTACTGATTTTTAATTAATTGTGTCCCAGAATCAAATTTTAATATAAGAAAATATTGTTGAAATTTGCGCGAGCCTTTGAGATTTTATAGAGAAGAAGAAGAAAAGAAGAACAAAAAAAAAAAAAAAAAAAAAAAAAAAAACAAATCTACCAGGACTCAGGAGAGAGCCGAGACTCGAGAGAAGAAGAAAAGAAGAAAAAAAAAAAAAAAAAAAGAAGAATAAAACTGGAGGAAAAAAAATAAAAATATAATATAAAAAAAAATAAAAAGAAGAAGAAAAATAAAAATAAATGATATAAATCTGGCAAGAAAGAGCCGAGAGTCGAGAGAAGAAAAGAAGAAGAAGAAAAGAAGAAAAAAAAAATCTGACAGATCCGGCAGATCCGAGAAGAGGAGGATGAGAGAAGAAGAAGAGAAGAAGGAGAGAAGAAGGAGAACTTACCTGCTGAGTGTTTGCCGACGGCGCGACGCAGATCCAAGAGTCCCAAGTGAGCACTGTATTGCCTTCGTTGCCTCTGTCTTCTTCTTTCCTTTGCTTCTCTTCTTTTTTTTTTCGTTTTTTATTTTGCAAGGCTTTCGGCTTTGAGCTTTCTACTATATTAAGTAATAAAATAATAGAATACAATAATATAACAATACACACTTACACAGAGTCACAGACAATAAACAAACAAAAAAAAAAATAGCGAAAAAAAGTAAAAAAAACCACAGTTTCATGCAGGCACGCCTTTATAGCGCCTGTAGCCTGGCGCCTTGGTCAGAAAAGCGCGCGCAAACATGGCGCCTGGAGGCGCCTTGCGCCTCAGGCACGCGCCTCCGGCGCCTTTGACAACTATGGGTCTTCTTCCCGGCGAAGTCTTGTTTTCCCTTCATCACCTCAATATTATTAGATTCCCTCTCCACCCTTTCTTTTGCTACGTGTTCAATAGGTTGAAACTTTCTCCTCTTCAAGTCAACCCCAATTTTCTTAGGGTTCTGTCCGTTCTGCTACTTCTGAATCATAGTTGTTAAAGGCTCAAGGTGCACAAAAGCGCAAATGCCTCCTGAAGCCTGAGGCGCAAGGCGAGGCGCGCCCGACTGAAGCAAGGCGCACGTTAAAAAAAAAAAAACAAAACCCACCTAATAAAGAATTAAAGATGCAATAGTATATATAAAAATGCAAAAGTCAACTAAATGAATTACTTAAGTTCAATATTCAACATAAAGATGTCAAAGCCAACTAAATCAAGTAATTAAGTTCAACAGTGAATAATAAAAAAAGTGTATTTGATAATGTATTTTAAATCCAT